GTGATGAATTGTATGAGCCCAAATAAAATGATTAAAAATAAATAAATAAAAAATAAAAGCACACACACAAAATTGTGTGAGCCAATTCCTTAAACTAAATCAACCAATCTCTCTCTCTTTCCTCCCTCCCTTCTTTCTTCCCTCTCTTTCTTACAGTTTCTGTTTCTAGAAACCCTTGACTTGGTTCTTGTCAAGATTCTAGCTTTACCTTTTTTGGAGTGATACATTTGTGAATGCTTAATATATTATAGTAAATAACTAAATAAAAGTAGCCTTGGCATGGGCAAATAAAAGATTATTATGAATTCATTATACTGCAATCCAATTACAGAAAATTAATTTTCTTGGATGAATAAATGAATAGAAAACTACCAGTAACACTGATTGGAGAGAAACTCGATACAGGCAGAGCTTTATCACATTGCTGAGTTCTGCAGCAGAATGTCCTCGGTGGACATCTCTTGCTGCTGTTAAGTCAGTTGTCAAGTTGTTGGCAAGTCCGTTCTCATTCATTTTGACCCTGTTTACAACAGAAGGAAACATTGCTTGGCCCTGCACCAGCCTAATTTTGTTGTTTGAGCCCATTGTTTCAGGCAGTGTGTCAATTCACTTTGTTGAGAGTTTCCCTCTTTTTCACGGGTCCTCTGCCAATGCCCTTTTCAAGGGCGAGTCTCTCCTGATTATGTCAAAAGTATGTGAGACAAAGTCTCCCCATCTTCCCTTCAAAAGAGCATTCTGGTTGCACTTCTTCCAACACAGATTTTTTTGCTGTGTCTTTAGAGATCTACAATTAATATCAAAGACATTTTGGAAAAACAGGCTATTAGGAGAGGTTACACTTTGCCTTAAAATATTACTGGGTCCTTCTATCACTGAACCACTTGGCAGGCCATTACAGTCCTTTATGCTTTTCTCTTAGATATTTGTCTTGTAATTAAAGCAAGCTGCTATAGGATGATTTGCACCTGAATTAAATGATCCCAGTCATACTGGCCAAAGGATATATATTAAAACACTATCTTTCTATTTTAAAGTATTATTTAAAACAGACAGAACTTTTATAGAATTAACAGCCCCATGTTTTTATTATAATAATTTCAGACTATTTTACACTTTATACAAATAATTTATTCTTATCATTACTATTAACTAAATTTTAACCCAACTCCATCTGTCCTCAGGCTTTTATTAGATTCTTTCTATCACGTCTGTATCTTACAATGTTCCAGTTGGACAGCTTACTTGAACCACCTACTATCATCTCCCCACTTCATATGACCAGCAGAAACGCCAATAATGGGATTTTCTCAGCTCATGGAAGTGCAGGCTAACTGTGTTTGACTGTTGACCCAATTTTATGAAAACAATTCAGAAATAGTTTTGTTGTTATGCAGCAACTCCTGCCCTTTACTGGCCCTTAATAGTTGTTCAAAAGAATGAAGTACTAGAAATGAAAACTCCCTTGAAGAAAGTAGCCTTAAAAATCGGTCATGTCATTTGTCCCCAAAAGCTTCCTTTCAAGTAGAAACTTTTCTTCTTATCACCATAATGGACTCTAGTGAGCCTCACTCTCCCACTTTCAGGCAGAAGTAAGTCTAGGAATGGGAATCGTGCTGTGTGTGGTGAGACCAGAACACCTTTCTGGCTGTGGGCTCTCCTACCCGCAAACCTTGGCCCTGAGCCTTTCTTTTTCTGAATGGTCCATTAGGTTATTATTTTTATTCTTATGATTATTTTTAATCATTTTACTGGGGGCTCGTACAACTCTTACCACAATCTCACGATCTGACTAATCAATCCCTAGCTGGCAGTTTCTACTTTCCCAGTACTGTGATTCGACTCGTTAGCACTTATAGAAGAATTATATCTTTCAGCTTCCCATTTAACTTCTCTTTCATTAGATAGTAAAGTGTTTCTGAGGCATAGCCAAACAATCAAACAAACAAACAAACAAACAAACAAACAAACAAACAAATGATCATGACAATGCACAGCACAGTCACTCTGGCCTCACGGTTACAAATTTCCAAGTTGCAGTAATAAAATCTCTTTTAAGCTTTACTTAGATGTCATTGGAAATGTTTCTTTTAGAATACAAGTCCTTTCAGCTAGGAGTAATGGGAATTTGATTTCCAAGTCAGACAAAATGCTCTGCTCGGTGGCAAGCTTCTAGAGGGGGGCTGCCTAGCACCAGGTATGATACACAGCACATTTTAAAGATTGGAGGTGAACTTTTGGTGAATGTGATTATTTCATGGTCAGGATACCCAAGTTATGCCCTATAAATCTTTTCTAGTTCCCAAGGCTTTCTTGGGAAAACTAAGTTCATAATGAATAAGGACAAAAAACAATTATAGTACAATCAACTGATAACTCCCAATTTAGGATTCTAATAAAATTGGCCAGAAGGCATGGCTTAGGCTTAAGGTTGAAGTGGTACCTCTCATCTTCCCAGCACCCCACACTCTGGATCACCCCACACCCATGAAGAGATAGAGACAAAGAGTGGAGAAAGGTGACTTATTTTTAGCAGGGGCTAGAAGAGGAAGATTAAGGAAGGTGGTTGAAACATCTCAACCACCAGGACTAACCTGGACCTGATGCAGAAAAGTAATGGGCGCACAGCATCTGGGTGCAGATTTTTAGGGTAAGATAGTCCTCCCTGTCGGTACAATGTGACACCACTGTCTGACACAGAAAGAGGAGCAATTCCTCCTCTTTAAGTGAAGAACTAATAACAAACTGAACAAGAACGGAGATGGTAGAATCTCCTCCCTCTGGTGGGTACTTAGTGTTTGTTCAAAAGAATGAATGAGAACAAGTGGCAAAAAAAAAAAAAAAGAACAAGTGGCATTGATTGGGAGTTGTGCCTACAAGAAATACCATTTGCATGCAAATTTTACATTATTAGTAACTAGGAGCCTTTAGTGAGGAGGCTGTGGGAAGGCTCATCCTTGTTTTTCTGAGTAGGCATTGGATGGGAAGTAAAGCCAGTGGCATTCTGCAAAAGCCCGAAGGAGATGCTTGGCATTAGGCATGTTAGTTTCAGACTGCATTGTTAGGTAGATAAATTCTGGGGACATTTACAGAATGTGAATGAATTTCATATGAAAGTTCCTCATATTAGATTTCCTTTTATTTTATTTTTGTTACAAATCCAGCTCCACTTTCCCCACCAAAGACCAAAAGAAAATACAGTCTCTAGGTCCTATGCAATGACAATTACGCCAGAGCTAGTTGTCATGTTTAGCTTCCACTTTATTTATTTATTTTTGATGAAGTTTTTAATTTTGATGATGTCCTGTTTATCCATTTGGTCTTTTTTTTTCCCCCCCAGGAAGTTCGATTTTTATTTGGTGGGTACAAGTGAGGCAGTGCAGGGCTACCAAGGCCTTCATGGATACAGAGCCACCACTTGTCCAAGGGACCACGGTGAGGGATGTATCTGACTCCACAGCCATCGGGATGAGGCGCTTCTCAGCCACCATATCCTCAAACTCATCGGCATTAAACTTCGTGAAGCCCCACTTCTTGGAGATGTGGATCTTCTGGCGCCCAGGGAACCCGAACTTGGCCCTGTGTAAGGCCTCAATCACATGCTCTTTGTTTTGAAGATTGGTGCAGATGGACACGATAACCTGGCCAATGTGGACTCTAGCCACTGTGCCTTGAGATTTCCCAGAAGCGCCTGAGGTAGTTAGTTCATTGTGCCAACCTGGCTGATAAACACATGTGGGGTTAATTAAAGGGTGGAGGGATGAATGGTTCAGTGAGCCTCACCTTTCTAGTTCTCGGGTCGCTTGCTTCTTGATGCTGAGGAGAAGCCCCATGGACCTACCCCAGTGCAGCCCTGGGTGCTGGAGCAGCCGCATGGAGACCCTTGCTAGCGCTGAGATGCTTACATGTTCACTAATTTGGCTTTCCTCCTGTAGTTGGCACCATTGAATGTATTTTGTGAGATTGAGGAAGACTTTGTGGATTGGTTTTGGACATATGGGTTAATGTTGGACTTGTGGGCTTGGGCAACACTAGGTTGGGATGTTTTCTTGATGTGAACTTTCCCTTTATATAACACTCTCTCTTATACATGAGTTTCTGTGGATTTGTTTCTCTAATGCACCCAGACTATCACAATGCCTCACATCCCAGTTTGGAGTCTAGTTTAGGGAAAGCAGAAATTAGCCAGGCCGGGGGCATCGAAAGGCAGCAAAGGGTTGTCTCCAAGGTCCCCTAGGGCAGCTTACACACATCAACAGGCTGCAGACACTACCGAGGAGGATTGCTGTTTGTAGCCATTGCACACCGGTCCCCACAACGAGGTCCATTTGGTCTTTTGTTGCTCATACATTTGATACAATATCTAACAACATCTAAGACCTTAAAAAAATTAATCATTTTATTGGTGGGTTCTTAAAAATCTTATGACAACCCATCATTCAATTGTATTAAGCACAATTGGGGGGAGGGGGAGAAAAGGGGAACCCATCACAAAGTTGGATATATAGCCCACCCCGCAGGGGGACAAATAACAGAAATGTGGGTGAAGGGAGACAACGGACAGTATAAGACACAAAATAACAACATATATAATTGATCAAGGATTCACAAGGGGGGGAGGGTAAGGGAGGGAGGGGAAAAAAGAGGAGCTGCTACCAAGGGCTCAAGTAGAAAGAAAACGTTTTGGAAATGTGATGGCAACTTGTGTACAAGTGTGCTTAATACAATTGAATGATGGATTGTCATAAGCTTTCACATTTCAAAAGTTAATAGATACTGGGAACAAATCCGGAAATAATATGCAAATGAATAAAAAGTTGGGAATTACTTGGAGCTGACGTTATACCAGGCAAAGAAGAGGATGAGGCAACTGTGTCTGTTTGGGAGAGTCTTTATCTTGGCTTCCACAGAGGAAGTGGTATCAGAGTTGCATCAACATACATTTAGGATTGGGGCAATATTCTAATGTACTCACTGCCATCAAGTCAGTTCCTGTTCAAAATGACTCTATTATAGGGCTGGGTAGAACTGTACCTGTGGGTTTCTGAGACTGCAAATCTAACCATCTGCATATACACCGCTCAGTGCTTATTGTTGTCAGCTGTTGGTTCCGACTGGCAGTGACCCTGGGTTCTAAGGGATGAAACACTGTCCAGTCCTAGGCCAGTTTCACAGTTGGTATCCTTCAGGCCATCGTTGCAGCTACTTTGTTAACCATTTTGCTTAGGGCCTTCTTTATCTTTGATAACCCTCTACCAAATAGGAGGTCCTTCTCCAGAGACGGGTTTCTCCTAGTGATATGTCCAAAGCATGTGAGATGAAGTCTCATTATCCTCCCTTCGAAGGAGCATTCTGGCTGTACCTCCTAGACAGATTTGTGCCTTCTGGAATTTAATGGTATATTCAAATGTTCTTTGCCAACACCATAATTCAAATGTATCCATTTTTCTCTTGTGTTCCTTATTCACTGTCTAACTTTTGTATGCATATGAGGTGACTGAAAATACTAAGATTTGTGGCATTCTCAGCCTGGTCCTCAGAGGGACATCTTTGCTCATTAACATTTTTAAGAGGTCTTGTGCAGTAGATTTGTAGAATGCAATGAATTATTTGATTTCTTGACTGCTGCCTCCGTGAGCATTGATTGTGGATTCAAGTAAAATGAAATCTTTGACATCTTTGATCTTTTTTTTTTTTTTCTTTTTTAACATTTTATTAGGGGCTCATACAACTGTTATCCCAATCCATACACACATCAATTGTGTGATCTTTTCTTCATTTATCATGATGTTGTCTATTGTCGAGTTGTGAGGACTTTTTCTCCTTTACACTGAGTTACAGTCCATACTAAGGGCTGTAGTCCTGATCTTTAGCAGCAAGCATCTCATGTCTCCTTGATTTCCGGCAAGCCAGGTTGTATTATCTGTTCGATTTAAACAACTTCCCACAGAACCGTGTAAAGGTTCTGCATGAGCACAATGAAGTGTTCTGGAATTCCCATTCTTCTTCTTCTTTTTTTTTTCAAATGAGTTGCTTTAGTTCCAGGTGGCACACAAGTCTGGGCCTAACAAAGACCGAAGAGCAGCACTGGCAGGATTATGGACTGAGTTCACTCTGCCCTCTCAGCTACGATAGGTTGGCTGGGTGAGAGAACTCAAAAGATGAGCCATTGTATGTTTTTTTCTTCTTTTTTTACAAATATTTATTCTTAAATGTATAGCAAGCGCCAACATTTTAACTATAGGGGGCAACAGATGTTATAGCAGGGAATCCAGATGTTTAAACTGGAATGGACTCAAGGGTCCTCATTGCCCCAGTCACCAAGAATAATTTACTTTGTGCCAGATTTCTACATTCTACCTGTGGCCACGGGGCCCTTCCCCAGGGTCTTTGCTTTTAGCTTCTCAAGTTTCTTCTGCTCTTCCTGTTTCTGCTTGAAAGCCTTCTCTTCCTATTCCTTTCCTTGGGCTGTTTCAGGGGCTTCTTGCCACCTTCAAAGCCTGACATGGCCCCTGCTGTGCCTTCCCCAGATCTGCCACCAAAAAGCAGAGTGTGGGATTCCCATTCTTCACAATGTTATCCACAGTTTGTTATGATCTACACAATCCTCTTCTGTCTGGAGCTGGTTTGAATTTCTCAACTCCCTGCTGATGCACTGCTGCAACCATTTTTAAGTTAACTTCAATAAAATCTTACTTATCTGTGACATTTCCTACTCTTGTTCAATAATCCCTCATTCTGCAGGGTTATCTATTTTTGGAATGGGCTCAAATATAGACCTCTCTCAGTCACTTGGCCAGTTAGCTGTCTTCCAAATTTCTTGGCAAAGATTAGTGAGTCTTTCCAGTACTGCTTCAATTTGTTGAAACATTTCAGTTGGTATTTCATCACTTCCTGGAGCCTGGTTTTTAGTTAATGTGTCCAATGCAGCCTGGAGTTCTTCCTTCAGTACCCTTGGAGCTGATGCAATGGTACCAACCAACCAACCAACCAACCAAACAAACAAACAAACAAACCAACCACCATTGAGTCAGTCCTGACTCATAGTGTCCTATAGGACAGAGTAGAACTGCCCGTGTGGGTTTCCAAGACCATAACTCTTTATGGGAGTAGAAAGCGTCATCTTTCTCTTGCATAGCAACTGACTTTGAACTGCCGACCTTGAATGTAGTCCCCCAACAAGTAACCACTACCTTTACAGTCTCACTCTGGTTCTCCGCCAGTGACATTTATAATACTGTTCTTTATCAGAAAATTGCTGTCATTCTTTTCTTTCTATATCAACATTATTCATTCTAATCTAAGCTGTATTATTTCCATTCCTCTGATACACACCAATGCCGGCTATCCGTGTCCTGTGAGTTGGGGAGAGTAAACCTCTAAGCTGTTGTCTGACTGGTTTCCAAAATGATGCTGCATGTTTTAACTGGACTTCGTGTGGTACGCTAGTAAAAAAAAAAAGAAAGAAAGAAAAGGCGGGGAATGGAGGGAAGGGTTCTTTTGGTTTTCAGGCTGTTAACTGTAATTAGCCTGGTTTCTGAGATGTAATTATCTTGCAATCTCAAAGCAAACACCCTGGAGGAAATTGCACTGTTAAAGACAGCATGGCATTAAAAATAAATTATTACCCTGATGCCTGCTATTGCTGCTTATGTGTTGTGATCTGTCAAGGTTTCTGTTAGCTAGTGCTTGTTTAGGGTTGGAGTTTTGTAGCATGTTGCCACTATTTGTGCTAGAGGGGTGGGGGGCTTAGTTTGCTTAGTGGTAATGGTGGAAACATTTGCCATTCTGGCTCTGCTGGCTGGTATAACACCGCCCATCGCCTCCTCACCTGTGTGGTGAACATCGCAAACGGCTTTTGAGGTCGAGGAAAGAGAGTACCGTTGGTCTCCTTTAGCAGTGACTAACGGTGAATGAAGCATCATAATTCAAAGCTCAGGTAATTCCAATAAGAAAGATCCGAATGACTTGGTGACGGCTGCAAGGAAGGTGGAATTTCACCTGTGTACGGGACAGATGCTCATAGGCACCGGTAAGAATGTAGGGTTTAGAATGAGAGCTCCTGAATGTGAACATACGACTGTGGGCTCGAACATATTACCCGGGCACTGCACAAAGGCTCCTTCGGACACTGGCCGCTCACCAGTGCACTTCAGCTGAGTCACGTAGCAATGGGGCTGCACTCATTTGTCGACACCATAGGGATGCTTAAAATCATTTATCTGCCTAGAGTACATGATAAAGGGGGGGAGTATGGATCCCCATTTATGGTCTGTATAATCTTGACCACATTACTGATTTGCTGAAATTCTGCTTTCTCATAGATAAAAAGAAGGATGACTATCATAACAATAATAATAATTCCAAGGATTATTTTGAGGACTCAAACGGAATCTCAGAAACATGTGGTTCAATAGATGGTAGGAGTTTTGATGATAATGGTGATAATGACCAGCACAACCATTGTCAGCAAGTAGTCACTTGAGTTTGAGGCTGTACCAGCCCTGGGCCAGCCACGGCATGCACAAGAGGCGTAAGAACTGGGCTTACTGTCTCTCAGAGCTGAGGTCTGGCTAGAGGAATTGGACGCAGACAACAATAGGTAATTAATCGCTTTTGTGTGAGTTCTGTAGGGTAAGAGTTCCACAATCTCTCTAGCAACTTATCTTTCCTGTTAATTCAGTAGTAGGACCAGCTTTTCTGACCTATCAAAAGGAAAGAAAGGAAAAACCCAATAGAATTTGGAGTTGAGGATGCAGTACAAAGAGGGAGTGGAGGAGGAGTCGGCAACTGTGGGGCACAGGAAATTGGAAAGGGGACGTGAGAGTGATCAGTAATCCAAAGAAAGCTTTGACCAGGTAGAACACTTTATTTGCTTTCGATGAGCCCAGCTGATTTGTGCTACAACTAATTTACATAACTGAAACCCACAACTCTTTATGATGAACACTTCATTTTAGCCCACATCTTTACTTTTCCTTGTTAAGTTTCATCCACACCTCTGAAGTTTCAGTAATGAATTATAAAATAGAAGGCCAAGTAAGCCTGAGGTTGGTGTGGTCAGGTGCTGTCGGTTGGTTCTGACCCATAGCTACCCTATGTCCAGTGGTCCTACACCATCCTCCTGAACCGTTGCTATGTTTGGGCCCTGTGTTGCAACCACAGTCCCTCTCATGGAAGTTCTTCCTCTTGTTTGCTGACTCTCTACCAAGAATCATGTTCTATTAAGTTTTCCCAGGTTTCTATCTCACCATCAGTAATATAAAGTCAACTAGCTTAGAGCTAGTATTAGCACAAATTTTTATTATTTTAAAATAATTTTAATTAGTATTATTAACAATGAGT